TTACTTTCAGTTATGACTTTTTAAAAAGTTTTCTTTGTGGTAGAAGAAAATTAATACTAGATAGGGGTTTTTTTCCTGAATTTACCACTATCTAATTGGACTCTAAAAATAACATTTTCAATCTGTATATATAGTTTACAAATTATTCATATCTTTGTGCTTTTTTAAAATTAATTTTTAAATTTATAATTTACACATAGTATCTTTTTACTTTTTTTGTTTGTTTGTTTGTTTTTTGTTTTTTAGAGATAGGGTCTCCCTATGTTGCCCAGGCTGGTCTTGAACTCCTAGGCTCAGGCGATCCTCCTGCCTCAGCCTCTGGAGTAGCTGAGACTACAGGTCTGCACAAGCTTTTTTACACTCTTAACTCCTCCTTTTTCATTAGCCCCCTTTTGCAATATACAGTAGGTCATTGTATATTGTCTAGGAACAAGAACATTCTCTTTTATAGCCACAGTGTGATGATCAAAATCAACACATTCAACATTGATATAATACTATTTTCTAAGTCAGAGTCTATAGTCACATTTCATCCATCATTGCACTGATATCTTTACTTTTCTACCTTTTTCTTCCTCCAACCCCAAGTCCAGGATCTAATCCATAATCACACATTGCATTTAGTTGGTCAACACATAAAGTTTTAAAATGTCTGTGATGAGAAAAAGAGAAATATATGGAAGAAATTCTGTCCTTTGTTATATGTTATAAAAAGCTGACTATATCATGAATACTCAATACTTGTATGTAAAGGTCCACAAACGTGAAATCATATTTAAAAATCATTGCAGTCTATTCTCCTACTCTCATTCTCATGGTCATCTTTAGGAGCTGAAGATTTCACCTCCCTGCAAAAGAAATTATTTTAGCATGGTTCACTAGGATGAGTAAAAGTCACCTATTACTATTTTTTTATATTTCTCCCTTCTTCCTTTTCTAGTTTTTAACTTTTTATTCTCCTGTGCTAAAGCATTTGTTTGGCATGCAGAGCTTTTTATGGAGAGCAGTATATCTCAGTAATAACCAGTAAATGAAGAGGGGAATTCAGTCAAAGGTTTGGTTCTCAGGCAACTTAACAGTAGAAACAAACATATTATGGATCTTGAAAAACACTCTTGGATCTGGCTGTGATAGTTGTGTTTTATTCACTGATTATTTGTATTTTGATGAGCTATAAGAAAAGTCAGCATTTTTGTTCAGAAATGATACTGCCTAGTTTATTTATAAGACTTGGCTCTCAGAAAGTTTTAGTGAGATCAAAAAGTCAAGTTTCCAGAAAACTTTTATTTAGCTATTTTTCCACTGAATGTATTCAAAAGATTGTGCTGGAGGCACTGAAGGCAATTGTAAAAAACAATTCCCAGAATGTCTGGGAAATGGCATTATAGTTGAAATAAACACAGTGTTTCTGCCCACCCCTCTTTTCCCACCTGCCTGTCTTGAAGCAAACTTGTCTTAATCCACTTCTTGAAACTTGTCTTAATCAGCTCAATGTAACTTCTTGCATTTTTTTCAAGAACTATCATTGACATCATAATTTATGTAACCTGAGTTTTATTTCTCTCTTTTATACTATGAAATGCTGGGCTGAGGAATTCTTAGAAATCTTTGAGGTTATTTTCTGTAATTAGTAGTTTCTAATAAGTGTTTTGATGAGAATAGGTATGATAGCAATTACCCTAGGAGACAGTTTAAAAAGAAATCAAATTGCATGAGTGGAGGAAAGTTTGGTGGCAAAAGTATAGACCTATGTATACGTTTCTTCCGGGGGCATGGAGGTTGGGCAAGAGTTGGGGAAGATTTTCATTTGGCCAGGAGTGGGCATGTGAGCAATGATGGGCAGAGAACGCCCACCTGATACAGAGGGAATAGCACGTGCAAAGGCCCCAGAGTGAAAGGGGGCTTAGTGTGTTTGTGGAACTTTTCTGTTCCTAGACCTGTATAGACTTATATGGCTGATAATTATGCATACAAGAGGATAATCGATTTGTTAGTGATAAAAAAGAATCATGCAATTTTAGAGCTTGAAGAGACTTTAAAGAATGACCTTCAGATTTTTCACTTGTGGAAAATGAAGATAAGGAGATGATTTGCTTCAAGTCACTTAGTAAGCTGGTCGTTAAGCCTGGACCAAAACTCAGATCAGAGTGTTCCTGGATCATCTCTCTGGTTGCACTGCCTTAGTTCCGGGAAGGATGAGTCTGGGTCGCCCAGGAAGATAAGGTCAATAAATGTTCATTGATATGGTCGCAGTTATAATGGATAGCATCTAGTCACTATTCAGACTCTTTTGCTTAAAAACACAGATGCTCCCTGACATATGATGGAGTTCCATCCTGGTAAACCCATTGTGAGTTGAAAATGCATTTAATATACCTGAGCTACTGAACATTACAGCTTAGTCTAGCCTACCTTAAACATGCTCAGAACGCTTACATTAGCCTACAGTTGGGCAAAATCGTCTAACACAAAGCCCATTTTAATAATAAATAAAGTTTTGAGGATCTCATGTAATTTGCTGAATGCTGTAGTCAAAGTGAAAGACAGAGTGGTGGTATGGGCACTCCAAGTGTGGCTTCTGCTGAATGCGTGTTGCTTTCGCACTGTTGTTAGGTCAGAAATGTAGTTGAACCATCTGTACTTGTCACTTTCCTACATTTGAAGCTTTCTTTACTCCTGTGCCCAGCAGTTCTCCTTTTCTTGTCTATTTATCCAAGTCCCACCTCAAGTCTGCCTTAAGTGGGAGGCCTTGTACACCCGCTTGCTTGTATCCCTTGCCTTTCCCAAATTTCCTGTTTACATTTAGTTTCCTGTTAAATTTATGTGTGTTTTATTGCCTTTTTTCTCACCAACTACATAATAATCTCCCTGAGGGCAGAAGTTGTTATTTCATAATTTAAAGATATCACACAATGCCTCGCACCTATTAGACTCTCAAAAAAGGTTTTGTTAGTAATTACAACGGTGATGATTAGTAAATATTTAAAGTAAGCAAAAAGAGCTTTGGAGAGATATGGTGAGAGTTATTTCCCACATAATTTTGTTCCATTTTATATTTTGAGGAGATGCACTATTTAAATTTAGAAATAGCCAAGTACAGTGGCTCACGCCTGTAATCCCAGCTACTTAGGAGGCTGAGGCAGGAGGATCGCGTGAGCTCTGGAGTTTGAGTCCAGCCTGGGCAACATAGCGAGACCTTCATCTAACAGAGAGACAGAGAGGAAGGGAGAGGGAGAGGGAGAGAGAGTGTGCATGAGAGAAAAGAATTTTTATTTAGTATTTATTAGAATTTACCTCTCCTCCAAACTAAATGTGGGCGTTATTATAAACAATCAGAGTATAAACTGTCAAAAGAAATCACATGGCAATTTGAGAAAGTGCAACCATATTTTGAGTTGTTTCTTTTTTTTTTTTTTTTATCTTCCCTCCAATCTTAGTTCAAAGTATGAGTTGTTTCTAAAACTATTTTAGACACGCTAACTCTTAGCCACAGGTTGATGCTGGTCAAATACATGTAGAATATTATACACAGAAGGGAGTTTAGAAACACCTGTGTTACTCAGCAGTTAGTTCTATTACTCTTTTAGGAGAACACCTGACATTATTAACTTTGGGTTTTGTAAATATACTGTATTTCTGAGGTAAATATCAAAGTTTGGTGATTATTACATCAGATAAAAACATTGTTATAGTCTTCTTACCAAAGTTCTTCATTTACCTTTTTTATTTTTAATTTTTATTTATTTTTATTTTTTATTTTTGAGACAGAGTCTTGCCCTGTCCCCCCTGGTAGAGTGCAGTGACGCCATCACAGCTCACAGCAACCTCGAACTCCTGGGCTCAAGTGATCCTCCTGCCTCAGCCTCCTGAGTAGCTGGGACTACAGTTGTGCACCACCACACCTGGCTAATTTTTCTTTTTAATAGAGATGGGGGTTTCACTCTTGCTCAGGCTGGTCTCAGACTCCTGAGCTCAAGCGATCCTCCCACCTCGGCCTCCCAGAGTGCTAGTACTACAGGCAAGAGCCACCATGCCTGGCCAGCTTTTTATTTTTAATCTTAGAAAACTTTTTCTAAGATATGCATGATTTCACAATGATAAACACCTTAAAGGGAAAATATTACAAAATATGTGCAATATAGTTTATTAGATAAAATTAAATGAGTAAGCAAGAGAATTAAATGAAATTACTAATGATTTTTAATAGATTGTAGGAAAGGAATTTCCACCCATTATCCAGTTACGTGAAAAAACCTTTTCCCATTCTATCTTCATTCCAAGTAATCATAGAGGTATAGCTGTTAATTTTATTTGCAACTACAAAGGTAACATGGATAGGATACGTGTAATTCCTTGCGTGTAAGATTGTAACACGTAAATTTTGCTCTTTTGAGAGGAATATGTATAAAATTTCTTGGTAGAAGAGAGTCCATATATTTTTATTTGCAATATGGGACTCAGCTTATCTGTTTTAGTTTATTCATCATCTGTACAACAAAGGTTTAGTGAGTATGTGCTGTATGCTAGGGATGCAGTAATTAAAGTACGAATGATTCTGGCTTCATTCAAAGTACGGTCTGATTAAGCTATAGTTTTACCTTTATGGGTTCATAATGACATTCTTGTGCTGCCTCCACTCTGTTGCGAAGAGAGTCTCTTGCCACCTGGAGTTCTCATCCTGTGTGTCACTGTTGTTTGCCCTTGCCCACGCATTCCTGGGTTACCTGGGACTCTTCACTGGCCCTCTGGTTTGCAGGCGTAATATGTGGCTGTTGCACCTAGAGGATTTTAA